TTTCTCCTGGGCTGGCTGTGAGCAGCCTCTCCTCAGGGCCCTGCAGCTGGCGAAGGCCTGATCCGCAGAGAAGAGCATGCCTGCGGCATGTAAGGGGCACTTAGGCTCTGGACGCCCAGACTGCACTGACAGGCCTCACGGGGCCTGGCCAGGGAAGGCTTGTCTGCTGTTTCCAGTGGCAATTAGTGCCCCGAGTACCAAAGGAGTGCAGTTCAGGCTGGCAACCCTTGGAGGCCCCTTCCTGCTCTGTTTCTCAGCTATATACATTTTTTTTAATTTGGGGGATTTTGTGTTCTTTTTTTTTTTTGAAATTTTACAAAGTGGCATCATGTCACGTCCTTTTGCAAAATGCCTTTCTCACCTACCATTACAGCTTGGTCATCTTTCGTATTGTACTCAGAGACTGTGATGGTTAATTTTATGTGTCAACTTGACTAGGCTTTGGTGTCCAGCTATTTGGCCAAACACTAGTCTAGAGATTGCCATGGAGTTACTGTGAGGACGAGATCACCGTTTACAACCAGTTGACTTTAAGTAAAGGAGGCTACCTTTGATAATGTGAGTGGGCTTCATCCAATCCGTGGAAGGCCTTACGGGGAAAACTGAGTTTTCCTGGAAAAGAAGGAATCCTGCCTGGAGCGTGTAACATAGAAACCCGGCCTGAGTTTACAGCGCACTCACCTGCTCTACAGGATTGCCAGCCCACACAATCACGCAAACCAGTTCCTTAAAGTAAATCTGAGTTTGTGTGTGTGTGTGTCTGCACCTATTGGAGAACCTGACCGATACACAGACCCACCTTCCCCTTGCAGACCCACCCACCATCTCCTACTTTTCCTTCATATCTTTCTCATGTTTTTTTCTCTTCCTTGCAGAAAAAAAGGAGGTGATTGGATGTCATTAGATGAAAGCGAAGTCAGAGAGTAAAGAACATGTCAATTATCATCAGGTTGGAAGGAAATAAAAGGTCTTTAGGGTTTTAGGCCAATATATATATTTCTTTCTGCATTTGTCTATTTTGATGTTAAGAATGTCTTTGCATAAAAATATGGAAGGTATTTATTTCCATATTCATGATAGACTGGGGTGGGTTTATAAGTCCCAACTTATTCAAACTGCTGCCTAGTTTTCCACCTATCAATTCCCACCCTACTGATGGACATTGAAATTTGTTCTCGTCTTTTTACTGTTATAAACAATATGTAATTTTTAAAAGGTACTATAGGGTTTTTTGCAGATACCGAGATGTAGGCCGGCTGGCTCAGAGGGAACTGCACATATAAACTTGCCAATGTTAACAGACCTGGCCAAATTGCCCTCCCGAAAGGCTGTGCCCAGAATCCTCTCCTGGGAGGGCATCTCTCAGCACCTTGGGCACATTTGAAATATCAGTCTTTGTTTTTTTTCCAGCATATTTAGATTACATATATTGCCTTTCCCCACCTGAGCTTCAAGCATGTCCATCCCCCAGACGGTGTGCAACGCACCCATTAGGTGTGTATATACCCATCCCTCCTTCCCCCTCCACCTGCCCGACACCTGATGAATGTTATTACTATATGTGCACTTAAGTATTGATCAGTTAATACCAATTTGATGGTGAGTACATGTGGTGCTTGTTTTTCCATTCTTGTGAGACTTCACTTAGTAGAATGGGCTCCAGCTCCATCCAGGAGAGTACAAGAGGTGCTATATCACCATTGTTTCTTAAAGCTGAATAGTACTCCATGGTATACATACACCACATTTTATTAATCCACTCATGTATTGATGGGCACTTGGGTTGTTTCCACATCTTTGCAATTGTGAATTGTGCTGCTATAAACACTCGAGTGCAGATGTCTTTTTAACAGAATGTCTTTTTTTCCTTTGGGTAGATGCCCAGTGATGGGATTGCTGGATCCTTTTTTGTTTTTGTCAATCTGGTAAGTGAAAAGTGGTAAATCGTTTTATTTTCATTTACCTGATCATCAGTGAGGCTAACCATCTTATCATGTGTTTATTGATGATTTGTGCTTTCTCTTCTGCAAATTGCAGTTTCATATCTTTAGTTTCTCTATGGATAGTTTATCTTTTTCCTCTTAACATATGCGATTTTTGCTGTTTCACTTTTTGTCATATGTTACAAATATTTTCCCCTTGGCTGTCAATTGTCTTTTAACTTTGTATGTGTTATCTTGATGTTGTCACATTTATCTTTCCTTTATATCTGTTGCTTTGTATCTTTTGATCCCATTTAAAGTCATAAATATACTCCCCTTGATATTTCTGTAATAGGTTTATAGGTTTTTTATGTTTAATTCTGTAATTCACCTGGAATATGTTTTGGGATCAAGCTTTATTTATTTTCCCAAATGACTAGCTAATTATCCTAACATGAGTCATTCTTTCCCACCAATTTGAAATAGCTTGTTTTCTTCTTCTTTTTAAAAAGTACCTATTAAAATGGTCCATGGCTTTTCTCCTTTTGATGTGTTAATGGGTCTGCCTCCCAGCTGCTGAAGCCCATCTGCCCAAAGTACAATTGGAGACCCCTTCCTCCATGGATGGTCCTGCGTTCCCCAAGTGAGGCCAGCCCTGTATACTGCACTCTTTGGGAATCCTTGAAAATGGAAAGAACAATTAGATTTCTCCTGAGGCAGACATGATCATTTTAAATTGGAAAGGCAATGAGGAGGGAAGAGGTTCTCAGATCACTTAGGCAGAGAGCCCAGTCAATGATGTTTCTGGATCCTGCCTGTAAAATCTCTGGTCACCAAGGCATCATTGCACTGATGCCCTCGAACGTTTGATATGATAGGTAGCTTCTGAGAATGGAATGAGAATCTCAGCCCCTTCCCTAGTACCCTGTCCTTGGTTTTGACCTGCGGGGACCCAGAGTCTCAGCTTTAAGAATGTATATGAACGGCCAATGGATCTTCCCTGAGATCTACCATGTCCACCAAAAGAATGTAGGCGGTGACCGAGGTGTTGCCTATCACCTTGGCTTCCAACAAGACCTGCTCCTCCTGGTGGGTACTCTTGACACTACATGCTGCAAACTCACCAAACCAAGGTATTCATAAGATATTTCGAAGCAAAGATTTCAGTTTGAAACTTCGAGATATAAGTCTTAGATAAAGTGCCTAAGAAAATATTAAGAGCCCATTGTTTAGAATCACAATTTTTTCTACAAAAAGAAAATCTTTTTTCCTTTTTGGGAAGATGAAAAAGTTTTATGTATTAAAATTTTGCTACATCTGCTACAGCTGCCAAGCCATGGTGTACTGAGGAACAATGTTGAGTATAGAATTGTACCTAAGCTGAAATATGCCTGCAGGTTGTGCAAACTACCCTGCCCACGGCTAACATGGGAAAGGCCAACCTTGCTTCCACCCATGGCTTCTCTGAGCCCCCACCTCCACATCACTGCCTTTTCCCTTAATCTAAGGCATTACTGCAATGGATTTTCTCATGTTGAATCATTCTTGAATTTCTGGGTTAAGTCTGACTTTATCCTGATGGATCTTTATTTTAAATACTTTGGGATTTGATTTGTTAATGTTTCATTAAGAATGTTTTGGTCTCCAGGTCCTTAGACATTCAGAGTAATTCTTGTGAAACCAAGCTGAGATTCTGGATGCATATTCCACCGCCTCCCTAATCTTGACAGAGGTTGGACATCTGAGGAGTCATTTAACTAGTGAACTCTGGTTAGGCCCTGGGATAGATTAAAACATTTCCCCTAAAACTGAAAATGCAAGGTTAAGGGGTTGAGAAAAGTAGATATTAACTTTTAAATATGGATTCCATTTAGTATCAGGCTTTGTCAACAGGTGACCACATGTTTTCCATTCCAACAGTGACTGGTCATCCAAGTTATAGACTCCTAAAAAAGGCTCGATCAGAAATTTCAGAATTTAATAGCTGTGAGATTTCTAACTTGAAACTTATCCAAAACAAGAGACAAAAACTCTTCCAAGAAATTAATTCATTCTACCCAAAGAAAAAGAAATCAATGTATCAAAAGATACCTACACTCAAATGTTTATTGCAGCACTACTCACGATAGTGAAGTGTCCATCAGCAGAGGACTGGATAGAGAAAACATGGCACATATACACAAGGTAATACTATTCGGCTATAAAAAGTAATGAAATCGCACCTGTTTCAGCAACACGGGAGCAACTGGAGGCCATTATCTTAAGTGAAACAAGTCAGACACAGAAAGACAAATACTGCATGTTCTCACTTATAAGTGAGACCTAAATAATGTGCCCGCATGGACGTAGAGTGTGGAATGATAGACGACGGGACTTGGAAGGGTGGAGAGGTGGGAGGGGGGTGGATGAGGAGAAATTACTTAATGGGCACAACATATGTTATTCGGGTGATGGATACCCTAACCGGCCTGACTTCACCACTACGCAATCTATGTGTGTAACAAAATTGCGCTTGTACCCAATAAATTATACATATTTTTTTTTTTTTTTGAGACAGCGTCTCACTCTGTTGCCCGGGCTAGAGTGCCGTGGCGTCAGCCTAGCTCACAGCAACCTCAAACTCCTGGGCTCAAGCGATCCTCCTGCCTCAGCCTCCCAAGTAGCTGGGACTACAGGCATGCACCACCATGCCCGGCTAATTTTTTCTATATATTTTTAGTTGTCCAGATAATTTCTTTCTATTTTTTAGTAGAGACAGGGTCTTGCTCTTGCTCAGGCTGGTCTCGAACTCCTGACCTTGAGCGATCCACCCGCCTCAGCCTCCCATGAGTGCTAGGATATACACATATTTTAAAAAGAAATTGATTCAGCCATTTATACATATATATTTATGAGGGAGGAAATTAATCACTATAGGACAAGACATTAGGTTAAGCTTTCGGCCAACCAAAACAAATTCTTAACTGATCTATGCACTTTCTGTCCCCAAGCATATAGTTGCTGATTACTTGGGTTGACGGACTTGGAATTACAACGCCATCTACTGCTGTTCATGACGGAAGACAAATCAAAGTCGTTCTTTTCACAAGTGGGTTTTATTTTTAACCCTTTATGTTGACCACAGAATCACCTGTGGCTTGCGAACCTGTCCTTAGCAGTTTGTGGTTGCTCTTCTGCGTGGGATCAGGTGGACTGGCCTTTGCATTCTCATCACCATCGTCTCTGTTTATCATTCATTTAGAGTCCTTAGGACAAGGTACAAGGCAGAGAGAAGCAGGCTCGTGGGGTCAAACTCACTACCTTCCTGTCTGGTTCTTCTGCACACAGGCAAGATATTCCTGTACATCATCTGGGGACCCTAGGATGAGGGGGACTCGTTGGTGAATAGCCTCTGGCTTCACGTCCAGTACGGGCTGGGTGCCTGTGGTCGCCAAGCCCCCTGCCTGCTCAATGATATAGGCAACAGGATTGCATTCGTACAGGAGCCGGAGCTGCGGAGGAACAGAGGCAGGAGGATAAACTCTGCAAGTGGCCAAACATCCCGAGCCATGCCCCGAAAGCTCCAGGAGGAGTTTCAACTGCTGAGCTTCTGTCTGTCTCCTTAGAGTGAGTGCGTTCGTGCACCTCATGAGAGTGGGCCACTTGAGCTCTAGACCCTACAGAAGGCTGGATGCATCAGCTGGGACTCATCCCAGTGGCCTCTGGGGGCCTCTCCAGCCAGGTGGGGCCCTACCTGTCTCGTGACCTTTGTGCCTATGGGAGACCTGCCTCTTGACTTGGAGATATGAGATCTAGGTACCCGTTTCTTGCTGGCTTAACAATGAGGCAAACTGACACAGTAGGCCTGGTTAGAAGCCTTACTATGTGAGACTTAAGGCCGGTAAGGAGTCAAGCCTTGGTCAGGGGCATGGAGGACAGACGAGGTTTGGGGTGTCAGGCAATAAAGTCCCAGACCGTAACCAATTAGCCTGATCATAAGATTATACTTGATAATACAAGTATTTTCAACTTTGTGTCATAAAGTTGCATTTAGATCTTCTAGGAGCTACTTTTCCAGAATTATTGGATGAGTTCAGAGGAGAAGTTCTCATTCCTGAGTTTGAGACCTCTCAGGGAATTCTCATGTGGATTTCAGGGCATCTGTGAACTCTCCGCAAATGTATGTGATGTGTACGTTTACACGCATTTTTTTCTGGGAAGTGGGCTGATAGTTTTCATTAGATTCTCTAAGGGGTCCATGCTCGCAAATCACTTGGTGCTGAACCTAAAAGTTAGGCGCAGCCTGTGGAAAGTGAGAGGTAAACACAGCTGGACGCCCAGTGAACGAAGGATGGGCGTGAGGCCAGAGGAGGGGAAGGCCAGTGAGAATCGCCAGTGCCCATAACGCCAGCCTTCCCCTCCTCCACACCTTCTACCGCAGCCGTGATACTCACTAGCGGGAAGTAGAGCTTGTTTCCCTTTCCCTCCCCACTTGCGCGCATGCGTGCACACACACACACACACACACACACACACACACACACACACACAAAGCAGCGCACAGCAACCCAGCAGAAGGTGTGAGGGAAGGGGGATCTCCAACCACTCACTGACCGGCAGCCAGCCCGTGGGCAGGGGAGAATTACCTTGCCCTTAGGACTCTTCTGGTTGGCTGGGTACAAGAAGATCCCTCCGTAGACCAGGGTGCGGTGCACATCGGCCACCATGGAGCCCACATACCTGGCCCCATAGGGAGCACTGCCATCCTGGAAGGCAGAAAGGGAAGGGCCAAGATTCAGTGGGTTTGGCGACTAGCCAGCACCAGCGCTGGGGTCACAAGTCCAGGTGGTGTGTCCTCTGCATCCCTGACCCTCTGTTCTCCACCCACTAACTTAGAAATTGAAAAAGTTATTTAATTGTGCATTTCATTCATTATGAGTCTCTCAAACTTCAGCCAGTGATTGCATTCATTAAATGCAGGACTACTTAAAGTGAGACAATATCCTGTAGCAATCTTACAAGACCAGCTAACCAAAAGAAGAAAGAAAGAAAGAAAGAAAGAAAAGAAGGAAGGAAGGAACAAAGAAAAGAAAGAAAGAAAGAGGAAGGGAAAGGAAGGGAAGAGAAGAGGAGAGAAGAGAAGGAAAGAGAAAAGAAAAGAAAAGACAGAAGAAAAGAAAAAGATTTCTACGTGAACAACAGTTGTTAGGCAGCTCCTTGAAGCTCCTGCTTGGCTTACTACGGTTCACAGCACTTTTAGCTTTTGGAGAACCAGACCTCCTTGAACAATGACAACTTTGCACTTACTACAAGCAGTGTTTATCCATTAGCAAAATTTTAAACTGTTTTAGCAATTATTTAAAGACACAAATCAATTTATTTGTAAACCTTGATTTCATTAGTCACACATGTAATGTAAAGAATGTTGGTTCAGAGAGAAATAAGTCAAAAGTCATGACCTTCCTTAAAGTAGACATAATAGGCAAGGCATGATGATATGATAAAATTGCTCCCAGAGGCAGGTTTGTCTTCCCCCATTCGTGACCGATCTATGATTTCTTCGTTTAATCTAGTGATTCTCCGACAGTGCAAAGGGAGATAGCAAAGTCCTCAGTGCAGCCATCCAGGGTTTTGTGCTCCAAAAAAGTCTGGGATTAACTTGGCGTCGTATAAATAATGAGTAATGATAAGCTAAGTCAAGCTTCAAAATAAGTATTTTTTTTTTTTGGAAAAATTAACTGTCCAGACTTTAAAGACTTGAACACAAGCTAGAGTGACTCGTGGATCAAGAGTTGAGTGAACACCAGTAAGATCAAATGTTGTAACTGGCATCCTCTCAAGGCGTTTTGGTTAGAAACCTGTGTGTGTGTGTGTGTGTCTGTGTGTGTGTGTAACGTTACTAACATTTTGTTAAAGTAAATTAAAATGGAGACCAGGCCTGAAGAATCCCTGAGCCAACAAAGCAGGTCAGGTTGCATAAGACCTCAACCTTGCTTGATTTGCAAAACAAAGCACAACAGAACTTGAGCTATTTCTTATAAATGCCTGCACAGTGCTCCAGCAGCCTTTGCAGGCTTATCACACACGGAGCTATTATTCTTCTTGCTGCCATGTACTGCCACTCCAACCAGACTGCAGCTTCCTGGAGATGGTGACCATGTTCTGTGCTATGTGCCCACCACAAGGGGTAGGTAAGTGTTCTACCTCTCCTCCTGTCGTAACGGAGGTGGTGTCCTCCTCCTATCTACAGCCCACCCTCTTCTCGTCTGCTGGTTCCTTCTCCTCCAGCCTCTCACAGAGCTGGGGACATCCATCATCCCCACCTCTCCTTTCCCACCACTGCAATGCTCCTGCTCATTCCTGTCATCAAACAAGGACAATTCTGCAAGAGTTTCATGGGAAATCACTAAGCATGCACCGTATAGTCCTGGTTTGGTTTCTTCTGACTTCTTTTGTTTCCTAATCTTAACAAAATCTTTAAAGGGCACCCATTTTTCTTCAGTTAATAATGTAAAAACACTACACTGACATGGTTAGATTCCCAGGACCCTCAGTTCAATAAAGATGCACTAAACCACTGATACCATTGCTTATAAAAGTGTTTTGCACTTGATGGAGCTTACGTTGAAAAATAAAGTTTATATTTTTTATTATCATTTAATTCCATTTTTCCACAAATGTAAGTCCTCTTGAATAATGATTCCTTCTAAAAGCAAGTGCAAGTGAGTGAGTGACTCCATAGGTTGGAGCTCAGCAAGCAAGTGACATGAGAGGTTCTGGCCTGAACACCTGAATTTTGGAAATGTGGTCCCTACCTTCTTCATAAACAATGTCTCCTGGAAAAAAGGCAAATGTAAAGGTAAGTATTACCTTTAGTAGGTAAACTTTAGCTATGAAAGACATTGATTGCTTATGAAGAAAGACAGAGTCCACCATGCTCATGCTGACCAGAGCCATAAGTAGTAGCAGTAACCTCTTCAGCAATGCCCCTGAAGCCACCACCCAGACAAGACCCCACGGAGACTACATTCTCCTTGCTAACGGCCTGGACTTTCTTCACTCACCTCAGGGAATTTCTTTTTCTGCACATATTCAGTGGTGGCAGCATCAAAATACTTGGCATAGCCCTCATTGAGGCTGTAAATCTTCCCTTTCTTCTTAATTTTGACATCTTTTTCCACCAGGACAAATTCACCAAGAGCCTGGAAAGATGAAGAGAGACGCCAGGAAGAAGAGAGACACCAGGAAAGAGAAGCCAACAGCACACTGCACAGCAGTCAGGACGTGAGAAGATGAGGACCTGCGGGCAGAAGCCAGGGATGGCGGTGGCCCTGCTGGAGCTTGCCGCGGTGTTTCCATGAACGGTAGACAAGACAGTGATGACATGGCGCCTGCACAGGAAGCTCATGCAGCGATATAACGAGAGGTGAAATAACTCAAAGGGAACAAGGCCCGTGGTCTTCTTTCTTTGCCTCTGTGCCTTCCACCGTCAGCGAGGCCCCTCACTTACAACAAGCCTGACTGTATTATCTCCCAAGTTCTCATCCCCACTTTAGGTTTTCAGGAACATGGGGCCATATACAGCAAGAGGAAGAAGTTACATCAATGTATAAGGGATGCATTTTGACTATTAATTTGTGGGCCAGCTATTTTGTTTAATGATTGGAAACCATTAAAAGTCCCTGGTATCCCAACCACTCCTACCTGGGGGAAAAAAATTCCTTCAGTTATAACCTGGGTTCACTGGGCATAAGGAAAAAGTAAAATCTAAAGGAATTTTCAGACATTAATAAAATTGTACCCAGTCCCCTGCACTCCCCTTATGGCCGCTGTGGTCAGCACCTGCAGGGCATCCCTCAGACACCCTTTATCTAGTTCTGGTGGTAGCAGTTCCTGAGGATGTGACTGGCGAGGTGCAGATGTCACCTTAAGGTGTCTCTCTAAGTCACTAGGTGGAAAGTCAGGGCCCGGAACCCAGCTCTGTTTTGATGAATGTCAAAGATTTCGAGAAAACAAAAAACTCCCCAGATGACAGCTCACAGCTGGTAGCTAGACCAGAAGGTTCCCAAGGAACACTAAAGATACTCCCAGAATGTAAAGAGACAAGGCCATGCCAACCATGTCTGAAATAAGACAGTGACAAGGATACTCAACAACTACAAACATTACAACCATTCCTCTCTTCTGCCTAACATCAGTGATGACTGCTTCTCTCCCAATGAGTCTCTACCCTCCCTGTAATCTTCCTGCCTCCTAGGTAAAAATTATTAATATATTTAATCATTAACTGCACCCACTTCTAGGCAACATCCAATCCAGAACAGACCCTCTGTTCTTTTAATCCTCCTTGGAATCATCAAGCCAACACCCAGGTGCTATAATAGGCCCACACCAATGCACAGCGCCCCATGGTTCATCTGGGTGCACCCCTTGCCCAGTAAACCCAGCTTCCTTTTATTATAGGTTTGCTCTGGATGGTTCATGGGCTTTATTAACTCTATATGGACATTTGTTGCTTTGGAGCTGTCCAGCATTGAGATCCACTTCTAAAAAACACCCTAATTTCCTTCGAAGAATTCGCTCTTTCCATTGGATACCAGTCTAGGAAGACTCATGCATGGGCCTCTCCTAGGCCAAGGTCAGCATGGGACTTAGCTTGAACATTAGATGCTCCTCCTTGGCGTTGGAAACCTGAGTGAGACACAGAATTGTGGTGGTGCCCAGACCAGACTGGCTGTGCTGTGAGGCCACTCCTGGGCTCCCTGCTTTATGGTCCTCCAGACCTGCCTGTGTCCAGCCTCAGCTTCCCATCAGTGCAGTAACTCATTGTACTTAGTTGAGTCAGAGTTGTTTTCTCTCTTGCTTCTCAGCCTAGAGCATGGCAGACACACAACTGTCCCCTAAACAGTGGTGGTCACCAGCCCATGTGAATGGAGGAGCCCATTCTGCATCAGTGTGAGATGCAAAGGCCTGGTTTATCCACCCCTGGGCCCACTGTGGGGACCCTCAGGCTCCTGGAACACCATTTCCTACTGTGGGTGGAGTTGGTAGCGATGCCTTACCGCGGTCTGGAAAATATGTTCCTGTGTCTGGCTGTGTGACCACCAACGATCACTGACTATGAACATGGCCGCACACACTTCGATAAGAGGAACCAGAGCCTTGTCACTTGGAAACAACATCTCCCATTTGTAACGAATGCCTGGACATTGAGTTTCCCACAGTGGAGAGTGTGGCTAACAGGAGGTGGTCCCTCTGTGCCTGAACAACTTGTGCGTTCTGACAAAATCAAATGACCAGCCCTGCAAACCCACAGGTCAGAGAAGCTCTGATGCCTCCCAGGAAACTATGCCCCATGGAACCCTGGCTCAGGAAGCTGCCGGCCGCCCTCCATGACATTTCTATCTGTGACAACTGCCATGAGCTGCCTCAGCTTGACGTCAGCATCCAAACAGGCCTAAGTGTCGTACACTGGGTCTTTGCTCCAGTGTCCTTCTCAGTAGGGGACATGACCCAAAGTGTTTTTGGGCTAACACACAGAGATCCGAAAGTGTTATTGTTTGGTTCATCTCTTCCTTCTGTCACGCAGACAAGCTCTGGTGCCCACCTATGTCCAGACTGGCCTCTCCCTCATGACTGAAGGCAGGATGCAGAGGCTGGGTGCCTGTGACTCCTGGCATTGGGTCCCTGACTCAAAGGCACCTCCCCTCTGTCTTTAGAACTGCTCAGAAGGTTCTTGGAGATATTTTGCTTGCACTCCAGAGCAGTGTGTTCACCCTTCAGTCTGGTTAAGCACAAAGACCCTGAGGGTGACTCCTCACACCCAAGTCACTAGCTTGACCTTGGGCAAATTACTTAGCCTCACTTCTCTCATCTGAGAATGGGAACAGTAGCAGGACATGCCTTGCAGGGCTGCTGTGATCTTTAAATGCATTCATAGATGTCAATTGCTTAGAACAGGTACCTACATTCCTACCATTTACTAAAAACTATGTAACTGTTAGTGTTGTTTTAGAACAATTTTAGAAAGGGCACTTTATTGCCTGAGAGTAATATTTGTAAACCATAGAATTTCTTCAAAAATAAGGGGACACTGGGGCATGAGCAAACTGATGCAGCAATGGGTCTTGGTCTAATGGGGTTTATATGTAAAAAGATTCTATTTGAAAATGTTCCTGGGCATTCATACTGCAAAATCTGTTCTGTCAGTGAACTTTTCTGTTTTGAAATTTTGCAACCCCAGCTCCCTGCACACAAATGCACTAACAGGCAAACTCCACAAGGGCTGGAATGATTGTTTCATCAGTGCTGTATCTCCATTGCCTACAATGGTGCTTTAGTACATAGCAGATGCTCAATAAACATTTACAAATGTTTATTGAATTAACCTGAAGTACTGACCTTTCATCTGGGTAACTACAGGAGGCTTTGAAATGGTCCTTGGTCAACATTATTTGAGTTTGCACAACACCTGACTATACTTGGCAAAGCATTTCACAAGTGATAAGCAAAGATCTACCATTTAAACATAAAATTCACAGAGCAGTCTATGCAATGGTGCTACTCTAAAGAATCTGTGCTTCTGTCTGGAAATTGGTGGCATTGCCATTATTAAATCATGGTGTTCATATAAACCAAAGAGATTGAATTAATTTTTGGAGAATAAACTCCCTAAGGACAGGGCCTGAGTTGATGCAACAGACTCTGTAAGTCCCCTCTCCCCAAAGTGCCCTCATGTGGACAGAGTTCCTTCATGTTTTCTGATGATGGTGTTGGCTCCCCAAACTAGGCTCTCTGGCCCCCAAAATAAGTATTAGGAATGACCAGGAAATTATCCTAGGGGACTAGAATTAAAATACAGAGGACCGTGGAGTCCCCAAGCACAGATGGCACTGTATTCTGTACCTACTGGGTCAAGCATGAAGAGGTCCACTCCTTGCCCCGTGGAAAGAGCCACCAGGGTGGCACTGCCATACAGCGCATAACCCGCGGCCACGATACTGCGACCAGGCTGCAGGGCGTCCTTTTCAGAAGGCTCATCCTCTGTGGTCTGCGGGAGACAGGAGAGAAACGCGGTGTGTTATTGCTGTCTCTGGAGACAACCTTTGCCAGAGGCCGGAGCTTCAGCTCTCCAGGACCCACCGAAGGAAGTGCAGTTCTCAGAACTTCCAGCGGCAGTGAGTGCGTCCACAGGGAACAAGGTGCCATGTGAGCAAACAGGTCAAGCCGAGCCATTGCCGAGGCCACTCGTGGACTTCTCCCTTCCTGTTTTCCAAACATATTTGTCGGCACCCTGCCGGGAACAGTGCTCCAGGATGCTCAAACCACAGCCCTTCCTAATCTTCACACGCTCCGAAACTGTGTCATAATGACTCAGGTCACCCCGTCTGATTTGGCGCCGTAGCTCATTCCACATGCTCAGCAGCCCTCTGAGGAGGACAGCACTGTCATCTCCACAGCCCAGATGGGGAACTCGTCCCTGAGCGGTTGGCCAGCTTGGCCAGCGTCAGAAAGCCTCAGAGCTGGACTCACACCCAGGCAGCGTGGCCCAGAGCTCCTCCTGTTCCACGTGCTGCCCTTGAAGGCTTGTCCCTGCCTGGCCCTGCTGGGGACCCCACCTACAACTCAGAGCACTTTCCCGAGGAAGACCCTCCCTTGGCCGTGGCAGCACCAACAGTGCTGATGCAAGTGGAAGTCAGAGAGACAAGGCGGGAAGCTGAGGAAGGAACAGGGCTCTCCACAGAGGGGCAGAGGGGCAGGGGACACTTGATTTCGTAACCCATTTTTCCTGATAGCTCTGGAAGCTTCCTTCCCTCCCCCACCTCCTAGCTCCCTAAAATGCAAGAGAATAAAACCTCATGAATTTGGGAATGTGGGTGGCGAACATCCAGCTCCCATGGGAGGAGCTGAGCTGGGCTCGGGGAGCGACAGCCGGGCCGCCCCCTCTGGGCACGCACAGGTCTTCTCCTGACCCTCGTCTGGGAGTCGGGCTGCACCGCAAGCACTGCGGGGAGGGGGCGATTCTGGACAGACACCCATGCTCTGCTTCTGCGGCTTAACGTCACAGGGACAGCTGCCGTGAGAGGACTTTGAGGCAAAGGAAAGACGTCCATCACCTAGTTCCAAATCGAAAGACCCAGGTAGGCTCAGCCTCACGGACTGGGGCAAATGGGTCCGAAATATGTGACAAGTTGAGGCCTCAAACTCACTTCCCAGGGTCCCCAGAGATGGCGGTGCTTGGCTGCCAGGGTTAGAACTTGCTGGTGTCACTGCTTCTGAGTCATTCAGTTCTCTACTGTGTTCCCAGCACCACGACCTTGGCTATGCGATTAGACACTCTGTTCTCTCCACACACCAGTGAGTCTGTGGCTAAAAGACAGGCCCGGAAATACTACTAGAACTTTCCTGTTGAGAAGAAAACTCCAGAGAGAGTGGGAAAGCAATGGAGGTGGAAGACACACTTTTAAAATTACGAAAAGAAGAAGTAATTATGTACATAGGAAATAGAACGATACGATATGAGCCCACATATTATACACACACAGAAAGTATGGCAATCGTGCTAATTAACTTTCAAGAAGAGTAACTTCTAAATAGTAAAACAACAATTTGAATCTATACAGGACTTTGTATCTTTCGAAGTGCTTTCACGTTATGTTCTTGCGGAATACTGGGAGGCTGTATAACCCTCACTTGAAGGACAAGGCGGGAAGGTCCAGAGAGGGACGGGGACCTTGTCCCTGCAGGCTAGGCCAGCTCTCTCCAGCTCTACCTCAGCGCCCACGGGTAGTTGGCCGTCTGCTGGAAACATTCTAAGAGCTTTAGTTTAAAATCAAAATTCACCCTTTTTTAAAAATGGCACGTTCCATATAATATTTTCTCTTACTTTCACAATCCTGCATTCTTTCTAATACTTTTTTTTGCAACTGAGAACATTTTCCATTTGAGCACATGTTTAATCAATCGGCCTCACTTTCTGATTTCCAGGCACATCCAGGCTCTGAGCACTCGGCCCTAAAGCCGTGATTCCCAAAGTGGACCAGCAGCTTCAGTGTCAGCATCACCTGAGCTCTCATTTGCAGTGTAGGTTCGTGGCCCTCCCCAGGCTACAGCACTCTGTCTTCCCACGCGCCCTCCAGGGGGCTCTGATGCACTAGGGTTTGGGAACTGCCCTAAGTGTGATCTCCTAAAAAGCCTCAGAACAGTGGAAGGCAAAGGCAGTGTTAGGTTTTTAAATGAAAATCCTTAGTCTTCCCCATGAAACTTCTGAATCATCTTTGTTCAGACATTCAGAGGTCACATTTTCTGTAGGAAACCAGAGTCCTGTTCTCTCACTTCCTCCTGGACTGGGAGATGCTCCAGTCTTCTGAGCCTCAGCTCAGCATCCCACCTTTGTCATTAGCTGCCTTTGTCACAGTTCAGGTGGCCACAGATGTGGGATTGTTTCTAGACTCTCTTTGTGTTCCGTTGTTCTATCTGTCCATCCTTATGTCAATAAAAGTGTAGGCTTTTCCAGAGGTTTATTTACCAATAAAAATGGGGGAGGGGTTCTCCTGAGCCCACAGAGGTGTCAAAATCCACACCTGAGATTATTGAGATAACAAGACCCCTTCTCCCATCAGAACAACCCCGAATCCGTCCTTCTCATGAATACTCTGATTTTCAGTTTTCTGTGACTCCGTCCCCTGCCCCACAACTTGTCCGTTTATTACTTGTTCATTTCAATGAGCTCAGCTATGCATTTAAAGGCATGGATGATGTATTTTATCTAGCATGTCCGGATGTTTTGAAGTAGGGAAGTTTTTACTTTGTCTAGTCTGTGACTTCGTTGCAAATAAAAAATGTCGACTTTAAGAAAAAGGGGAACCTTACCAGCAGAGGGCTGAAAACAGCATGGAACATCCTAAATGGTGTTCAGCATTGCTCCTTAGAAATAAAAGGGAAGAAGATAGCTTTCATAGATCTCTGACAGTCCTGAAATATTTCTCTTGGTGCTTATCAGAGATTCTCAGAAGTCCTGGCTGGAGACGGGCATCCTCCCTGGTTCTGATGAGACTCTCAGATGCCGTGACAGCCCCATGAGGTCTCTGAAGCGAGCTGCTCTCTCAGTAGACATCGCCTGAGCATCAGAGAGCTTCCCTTCATGACTTGTTTTCATAATACCCATCCTGAAAGTGGTTCACTAGTCTCTCAAATTTGCCCCTTTTCTTTAGAAATACAAATATTATCAGAAGGAATCCATGGTTATTTGGACTAGCCTTCAAAGCATATGCTTAATTTAAAATTTAAGACAAAAATCTCCATGTCCAAGCTCATGTAAATTCAAGTGTGAATGCCCTACACTGTGCACAATATTAATAATATTCCTCTTTGTTGTTAAGCCAGTTGGTCTTAAGAAGTTCTGAAGAGCTGCGATGATGGAGGTGGGCAGCACACCTATCAGATCCCTGTCCTGCCATTACTCCCTGGGCAGTTTCAGCCAAATCACTTACCCTCTCTGTGCTTTCATTGTGTATCAGTGAAAAGTGACAGCCGCACCTGCATGTGCCTCATGGGGCTGAGCTGAGGACTAGCCCAGGAACCGTGCACCGAGGTGAGGACAGCCTTGCCTGACTCACCATCAGCTGTCAAGGGTATTAGCCCTGGTGATAAAACCAGTATTTAAAGCCACCTCAGGGGGCGGAGCAAGATGGCTGAGTAGAAACCACCAGTGATCCTCCCTCCTGATGGACACCCAATTCAACAACTGACCATGCGAGCGAGCACCTTCAGCAAAACTAAAAATCAGGTGAGCGATCATAGGATCTGGTTGGAACATTATGTCAAGAAGAGAAGCACTGAAGTGGAAAGAAAAGACAGTCTTGTTTTTCATGTGTCAGCCCTCCCCCTTCCCCCGGCAGTGCTGCACCAGCTCACCCAGTGGAGAGAGAGTCTTTGTGCCCAGGGGAGGGAGAGTGAAGTGATTGTGGGGCATTGAAACTCAGGGCCACCTTGGCACAGGGGACACAGCACAGGCAGAATTCTGCTGGTACCCACAGAGGGAAATCCTCTGCCCCCAAACCTGAGTCTCAGCTAGCCCCACCACCTGCTGCCAAAGAGCAGCGTGGAGCCTAGACTAGATTCTTAAGGTAGTTGGGCCACAAGGGCTGCAGTCCTTGGGCAATTCCTGTAGCTGTGCTGGCTTAGAGCCAGTGGAATTTGGGTGCACATGACCCAGTGAGACACCAGCAGCTGTGGCCAAGCCAGTGCTGTGTCACCCCTCCCCCAACTCCAGGCAGTGTGGCTTAGGGGGAGTCTTCTTCCACCTAAGCAAAGGAAAGGGAAGCGCTCAGAAAACGTTGTTTTGAAACTTGTGCATCAGCTTAGCCACAGTAACATAAAGTACCAAGCAGACTCCTGAGGTCCTTGAGTCCAGGCCTTAGTTCCTGGGCACACCCTTGGCCAGAAGGCAACATGCTGTCTTAAAGGGAAGGATCCAGTCTTGGCGGGATCCACCACCTGCTGATTAAAGAGCCGTGGGCTAAGAATGAACATCAGAGGTAGGCAATAGTTCCTACTGGCTTTGGGTGAGACTGGGCTGGCATCAGAGGTGTGACCTGGTGCTGGTGGCCACAAGGCAGTGACAATATCACTTCTCCCCCAACTCCAGCAGCCCACCACAGAGAGTGAGGGAAGAGAGTGAGAAACTTTGCCTGGTAATCCAGGGAATTCTCTTGTATTTTACTCAAGCTGACCAAGGCTGTGCCATCATCAGAAGTTTCTAAGAGGCACAGCATTACTGAGCTTGGGGCACCCCCTGCTCTGATATAGCTGCAGTGACCAGAGACTTAGATCACAACACTCAATTCCATTTGAATATCTGGAAAGCCTTCTCAAGATGGACAGGTTCAAACAAGCCCAAACTGTGAAGATTAAAATAAATACCTAAACTTAACCAACGAAGTGAAGGATCTCTATAATGAAAACTATAAAACATTAATGAAAGAACTTGAGGACATAAAAACATGGAAAGATATTTCATGTTGTTGGACGGGAAAAATCAATATTGTT